GCGGTAGATAAATATTGCTTCTGCGGTGTGCGGACACTAAGTCAACTTCCATGAACAGTGATCATTAAGAGGAGGAGAAAAAAAACCCCACAGCCAGCAGTTCATTCAAAGAGCTATGATCTGCTGAAGCTGTAAGGCTAAAAGTCTGATGATTTTAACAGGGTGGAATGGAGATAAGGAGTTCTCCTGAAGGGTCTTTGATTCTGGAACTGACCCTCCCTCTCTATTAGTCCTCCCTACAGCACAGACTGTCTTATCTTTAAAACGTATTCAAACACTTCTCTTTCCAGCTTTTTGGCAGTGGTAATTAACCAGATTTTTAAGATTTTTCTCTGGTGGCGATGTGGATCGTATTACGAAGTTGAACATCCTTATTAATAATGGTTTACAATACTTATGTGTCCAGATGGACACATTATAAGTACAAACAAATAATTGCACATTGTGAATATAAGCTGCATGCAGATTCTCCTCTTTGTTTTGCATTTATATCTACATATTCTACTCCATCAAAATACTGGACTGAAAGATTTTACTTAAGATCAGTAGTTTACTTAAGATCAGTATAGTGCACTGCAGCTTTCCTTTTCAGAATCTTTAACTTGGTTTTCATATTGCTTGCACTATTTTTAGAAAAATGGTGAAGTGTCTTGTCTTCCCTCCTGCTCTTCCCTTTTTTCCTTTAGCATGACAAACCGTAAAGCTGTAAGGGACCTCTGATGGTGAAGAATCTCAAACACTGGGTCCTGAAATGTATTTTTCCAGAAATCACTTTTCCTACTGCTCTGCTTGTTATGATGGTAATAGAAACTATTTCTAGAGTTTGAATCTGGGCTGTTATCAGGCTTCTGTGCTTTGGCCTGACTGGGTTATCCTTTTTAGTTATCATTTTGCATAGATTGGGAATCTGTTACTCATCCTGTTCACAAATGGTGAAAAGACTAGATGAGCAGCTTCTAAACAGCACTCACTTTGTCTCTTGCCGGGTCTTTACTCTGTAAGGAACACAAGCAAGGACTAGGGTTGAGATAATACTGATAGTGTGGAGGACTGTCAAAGAGGAATTCATTGATACAATAAGGTTGGACTGGCCTTCTGTAGGGCTGGACTCTGTCTCCCGAAGAGTCCTTAGCTGTATGAACATTGGGGTCAGCAAGCTAGTCTGTCCAAGGAAATCAGTTTGCAGCAAGTTAAGTTTGAAATTATGGTGCAATGGAAACCCTACTCTAACTACTTATTCAGTATTTTTTAAATAAGAGGTAGTCTCCTTTGCTGTCAATGCAAAATAATTTATCTTGTCAGAAGAAACCCTCAGCATGTGTTGAGAATGTCTGCACACAGAGCTAGTGTGGAAGCCTAACTTCCCGCTGTGTAAAGAAGACTTGCATCTTCAGCCTCCTCCACAAACCCTTCCCCTAGAAGAGAAGGTCTCTAAGGAACCCCGTGTGGGTCACTTTGCAAAGTTTCTTGTAAACTCTCTCCATCTTTTATAGGGGTTATTGAGACTATTATATAGCATTGATATAATCTTAAACAAGCTGGGTAGTATGCCTAATTCTCTACTGGCTTGAATCCTGCATAGTCATTGACATCTCCACAAAGAGAGTGCCACTTAAGAATTCTCCACTTTCCTAGAACAGTGATAGGGTTTTGCAGTCACTTGTACTCTTTGCACAAGAATAAACAAGTGAACAGTGTGCAAAGCAGGAGAAAGTCACCCTTTTTTGTTTTTTTTGCTGCTGTGTGAAAGAGAAAGTCAGTGGGCCAAAATCTAGACTTAATTTCCCCACTAGAAAATTGGGATAACTATGCTTATATAATTGCAATTTCCATACAAGTTAGGACTTGACGCTACTCTTCTTACAAATTACAATCCAAATCAGGATATGAACGATTCACATAAGCAGAATCACTTGTAATGATGGTTTAAATGATTTAAATTTGGATTCCTTCACACAGCAGTTAAAAGTACACTCAATCCAGTCTTCAACAGAATGATTTTCATGTCTGTTTACTTTATTTCACTTCTGATAATTTCTTTTTTTTCATTTAAAGTAACTCATGTTTATTTGGATACAGCAAACTAGGATCAGGCCCTCCATATCCAAGAAGTAAATCATTCCACCTTGCAAAAGTCAGTTATGGGCTACTTCTATGACTTCTTGTCACTAGAAACTGTATCCACTAATGTGAGCAGTTGTAGTGCTATTAAAGATATGACAATACAGCTTAACAGGATTGGGCCTGTGGTTCACCAGGAGCAACAAATCTTGCTGTATCATCTTCTGAGGTCATTTGGAAGTACGACATTTGGATTTCCTTTCATGAGGTTATGGAACAGATTAGGGAAGCACTGACTCTCACCATTTCAACCGCCAATTGAGGTGGGAAGACAGTGGAAGCTTTAGCTGAACTTTCATCTCCTGGGCTGCTATTAGCTTTTTAAAACCAGGATATTAACAACCTCTCCAAAAGGTCTAAACACTGATTTAGCATGTAGGTGACTCCTGCTGAGGATGCTCACAAACAGGACAGTATGTATATGCAGAGAAACAGGAATTTGTCCATACAGGGAGTGAACCGGTGCTTCTGCGGTGTAAAAGGATGGTGCAGAGCGGAAGTTTTACAGCTCCATGCATCCTGTGCATACACGCATAGCTTTTACATAAAGAGACAAAGATATCTTTATCCACACGACAGATAGACAAACAGACTGACTGACTTCAAACTTGCACTTTCAGTAGGGATTTTTTTCCCCCCATCTCCGGGTACTGCTTTTCAAAATTGCCTGAGGCTACAGTACAGCACCTCAGATCCCCAAGGCCCATTGCCTGGCTCCTAATAGCCACTCTCCATCTGTGTCACATGAACAGCTGATGAGATAGCTCCAGTGTCTGTATTTTGGAGAGCATATCCACCCAGGTTAAAATGCTGGGGTTGCCAAGGAGCAGTCAGAAGCCATTAGTGTTTGTGAGAATTTGCCTTGCAGCAGTTCCTTGACATAGTGGAAAGTGTGCGCGTGTGTGTGAGAGAGAGAGAGAGGGAGAGGGGGAAAGATGGAGAGAGAGGGAGAGGGAGGGAGAGGGAGAGAGAGGGTGGAATATATGGGGGGGAGAGAGCAACAGAAAGGAGTGCTTTCTAAATAACCAACATCTTGCAAAAGTGAACAGTTGGTTACAGCATGTAGGGCTTCCATAATATCTTCGATTAGTTTGCTGTGATTCGGCTCTCCTTTCTCTATCGTTAACAGAAACAAACAAAAAAAAAAAAAAGAAAAGGAGCACGAGAAAGAGAGCAGCGACTTCAGGGTCTTGCTCTGGTGTTTGGGCAGATGGAAAGGAGCTGCTCTGCCTTGGGGCAGGGTGGTTGTAATGAAGTGGCCTGTCAGTCTGTAAATAGTGAGGGTCATCTCTTCCATGTGATGGAGGGTATCACATTGCAGTGAAAATGGAAATGTCAATAAAATTAATCTGCCAGCTCTTTGCTGTGGCTTTTTCTGTCTCTCTGGTCCAAAAGGGTTGGTTTTTCAGAGGGGAGGCAGTGGAAGAAGGGTGATCTGGCACGGGAGGGAAGATGGAGCTGAAATGCAAGTTTTGAAGCAAATGGACTGTATGTAGCAGCAACGTATTTCGTTTAGTAACACTACAGAGCTAGACAAGGCTATAGGAATTAGCTCGTGAATCTATAGCATTCCTCAGGAAGCTATGGAGCGTCTAGCTCAGGCTACATTGAGCACAGAGTTTATTGTTTTAGGCTTTCTTGGACAAGGTTTTTACTTAGCATGGGATTTATGGCATTTACTGCTAATGAATGTCTATTCTTAAATTACAAAAACCACCGTCTCAGCACAATTCCCAGATGTCCTTCCAGGACCTCAGCTTCTTAAACACCAGCAGGGAGCATAAACTCTCCACTTCTCTGTTTTCCTCTTTCGTGTGGCTCTGGGCTAATGATGTGTAAGGAAAACACAGCAATCTATAAAGTCTCAGTGCTGTCCCAGTATTCTTCATTTATTTTGCATTTGATTATGCCACAAGTCGGATCTTGTTTCTTTCCTTTTTTTAAAGTTATTAGTTCAAATATTAATGTAGGAATATGGCATATATTGCTGCTCTTGATTGATGCCTTCCCAAAAACAGGAAGACGTGCTCGTATGAATTTTAAGAAAGTAGGGGTCCTGCAATGCCTTGCCAGAAGAGTTTTTCAGATACATAATTTAGATGCCCTCCAGGCAGGCTTTCAAGGCATTTTTGCTGGAGGGCAAGAAAAAATAACTATGACTGTTAAAAGTAAATGATTTTTGCTAATGCACAATTAATGCCAGGGAAAAGCACAGAAGAGAAAGATGTTGATGGAAAGTTCTGATTAAGTGAGAGCTCTACCTTGATGTGCATCTTTTTTTTAATGATAATAATCACTGATGCAGAGATGTAGAAGTTTTCATGTCATGCAAATGCTATACCCAGGGTCATACTAGGTGTGCGTGTTTGTGCGTGTGTTTGTATGTGTGTTGGGAGGTGACGGTTACGGGGAGGGGCTCATCTGACAGTGTGTTATGTGCACTGAACGGTGACATGGTTACTGCCACCTCTACAGAGGGCCTCGAATATATAGACTACAGAACATTTAACTTGATTACTTATAGTATGTATTCAGAATGGTTGTAGGGATGCATTTACAGTGAATGGGTTTTCTTGTGGCAGGTTTTACCACATTGAATCCCATAATTGACAAAGAGCTATTGCACTATGTCAAGCACACAATTATAATTGAATTAATGATATATGCATGTGTGAAACACAAAATTAGTATTTGGAGAGACACGGTTTCTAGTTTTTACATATTTGTATCAGCACTCATATATAATGAGAAACTGTATGTGCCTGATCTAGCAAATCAAAATAAAACTGTGGTAGTGTCTTGGTAATTAATGATACTTTTTGGCTTCTATATTTTGTTCATTAAATGTCTCCTCCTTCCTGTTTTTCTCTTTGTTGTAGGAGATGGTTTAGACAACAGTGTAGCCTCACCTGGTACAGGGGATGACGATGACCCAGACAAGGACAAAAAGCGTCAGAAGAAAAGAGGCATTTTCCCCAAAGTAGCAACAAATATCATGAGAGCGTGGCTTTTCCAGCATCTCACAGTAAGTGGTGCCCCAAACCAAAATAGATTTCTATTCATGTGCTTAATGAGGTTTATTCATCATTATTAGAAATCAATTGTCCCCATAATTTTTGGACCATTATTAGGGCTCAATTATTGTTGCTTCCCCCCCCCCCCCCCAACTCCTCTTTT